CTTGCCAGATAGCACCTATTCCCTTTTTTTTTTTTTTTTAATTTAACAAAACATCCACGGGATGCCTATTATTGGAGGTGATAAGAGAATCCTGCATCCTCCAATAATAGGTTCCCAGTTATAGATGGCTCCAATCTATTGGTGGGGAGCTGCACCAGCTGGAAACCGGGTCCAGCGTCCCAGTTACAAAGATGGAGCAAGAAGTAAGCTGTAGACGATGGACAGCATTGATTACCCTCCAACGAGGGGATTGACTGTCCATCAGACCGAAATGGTGGACCAACCTTTTCCCCGACAACGGCTCAATCAATCATATACCCAGTCACCTACCAAACCCTAATGAGACAGAATCCCCAGACCCCTCCGATCCAGAGACCCACCGACCCACCGTCCAATCCCTTCCACTCAATTACTGCAGTTAAATTGCAAACCCTTACCCGGCTATCTAATAGGATGCTAAGATTATCAGGAAATTTTGAAATTACGGGCATCAGGTCGAAAATTACTGTTTCTGGTTTTAGAAGCCACACCCACCCATCTCGACCGGTAACCGGAAGTTTTCGGAAGTATGGGTGGGCACAGCGCGTGGTATATGCCTATCATTACTTGAATTAGTGAAGAAGACGACGTGGCTTATGTATCGTTTTTCTTATCTGTCTCATTATAACAGACCGTGTTGTCAGCGCATGCACACCCACGTCAAAGCAGTAGACCATAGTAGCCGTAATCTATTCGTAGTGAGGTAACGAGGCGGACATAGCCCGGAGCACGTCACCCACTCACCCACCAATCCCCTCTGTTCATGGGATCTTCCAGTCCCGCCGCACCCCCCCAATCAAGACTAACTGTTCAGTTCTGGCCAGCCCAGCCGGAGACACCCTACCCTCCTGAACCCCTCCCCCCACTCTTCTCCGCTCTCACCTGGTGTCGGTGCAATAGCACAACCTCTGGCCCATTTTTAGTACATGCAGTACGTGTCATCCCTGCTGACGGAAGCAGATGGCACATTACCTCATCCTGTTTTGCAACGCTGGCTTGATCATGCTGCAGAAAGGCATTGTGCTTGCAGTTCTCTCCCAATTGATGTACCGGTCTTGCAGAGGGGCACCGTGTGTCGATCGCCGTTTGCTCCTGAAGTTGCCATTGCTTGCAATCATACTGTATTTTCTCGTCTCCAATGACCATGGGGCTCATGAAGCTATCCTTGTCATCCTCAGATTGATTCACCCCCTGCAAATTAGTCATCATGAGACTGTGGTTATTATCTTCAGATCGATTCTCCCCTTGTACCTCAGTTGCCTTCACTCCGACAGAATCCTTGGTAGCAACGGCTCCAATAGGCTTGCTCAGTGGGAGGAAGACTTCAGTAGTCGCCTTCTCTTGCTGTGTTTTGTTAACCTCGCCGTCAATGACCGCACGACATTGTGAAATAGCAGTACGCAGCTTCTCAAACATGGAGAAGCACGCTTGCCTAGCTGTTTCCTCCTGCACCTCTTCAAGGCAGTTTCGTCGCTGTGAAATTTGTGAAGAGTAATTTGTTATCACGTCTGTCTCCCATTCGTCGAGGAACTCTTCGCTCTCCAACAAGAGCCCCAACGGGAGATTTCCACTTTTACTGGTCATGATATCAAGCATCTCCGCCAACTGATGTTGATAGAGAGCCAGCATCACTATCGCAGGAGTTTTATCCACCGTTATCACATCTTGCATGACCCAAGGCCGCTGGGCAGGAGGGATGCCCTGCTGCCCCTCTCCGTGCGTGACTTTGCATTCCATCGCCCTTCCACCTCACGTCGAGAAGCCCACCCCACGTCACTCACCGCTACCCCTTCCTAGTAACACCCCTCCCCACCAGACACACGCCTCTCAACAGGTACCACATTGCACACCGCATGGCATGCAGACGGTCTAGCACGAAGGCCACGCCAGATGACGGGTTTACCTCCTCTGACGTGTCACACGGGGAGCAGGCCGGGCCCCGCCGGCCGGTCCCCTGTAGGGTACCAGGGCGCTAACGGTGCGCGACACGAGCACCTGGACTCAGTTGGTTCGTATACAAAGTTGGGAGCAATCGAATGCCTTCATTCATGACTGATAACACCTATTCCTACAACCTCCTCGAGAGGCAAACCAAATGGAAAAAAAAATACTAAACTGGATGTTAGGATTCTTCGTGAGGGATCACCCCTCCCTCCCCCTCCCCCTCCCCCCTCAGCCCTACACTGCCTCCGCCAAGGCGAGCCTCCCGCTCTCCCTCGGCCCCAATATAGGACGAAACCTCTACCCTTTCCCCGGGGGCACGCAGTTCCCACCTAAAGCATGCCCCCCTGCCCCTTGCCCATTTCTGCCTCTGTTGGGACTGATGTTGACCCACACACCAGCTCCTGCCCTAGAATAGGGCAACCCCCTACTCCGCCCCTACCCTCTTTGAGACATTCACCCCCCACCTTGTGATGCCCCTGCAAGATAGAGCTCCCCCCTCCTTCTTCTTACCGTTCAGCCCTATGGGAACGATCCGATCCAGCCGACTACAGTTATTGATGACACACTTACCAAAATGTTGAATCACTTCATGCAAATCGCAATTTGGAAAAGCAAGGCCTCTTCAAAATTATGCAATAACCCCCCAAAACACCCTACATCTTTAAGAACAACCCGCCGAACAAAGTGCAGGTCAGCGTTACAATTATTCCCCTGCCCCTTGTGGCAGCTCCCACCACGTGCTCGTATCACCAATTTAAAAGAAGCAAAAACTAATTATCAGACAGGGTCTTAAAAATGTATGGCTATAATAGTAGAATTACAAAGTTTTCGGGTTCCAAGCTTAGAAAATCATGATAGAATCATAGAACTTTACTTGGGACTTCTAGAAATTATAGTCGGAATTCAAGGATACATAATTATAGAACAGATCCCTACGAATTGTGCTAGCGATTCGAAATGGATGATAACCCATCAGGGCTTCCGTAAAGTTTCAAATGCTTAGTAACCAAGAGTATACGTAGTTATATCAACTTATATGTATACACACACACACACACACACATATCTATCTATCTATCTATCTATCTATCTATCTATCTATATATACCGGGCAGTTCTGTTTGTGACGATATATATATGAGGGTTCAGCCTCCTGATGAGTCGGTGAAACTCCGACGAAACAGTTTGTCACAGCCCCTCGTTTGTTGTCCTCTTNCTTCTTCTTCTTCTTCTTCTTCTTCTTCTTTCTCTCTCCTCTGGTCCATATCTCTTTGCAAGTGCTTTCATTTCTTTCGCAATTTGGTGGCATTGTCTTTCATTGTGAATTGCACTTGGGAAATGACCAGGATTGTAACACACCTGAGAAAATGGGCAGCAGCTCCATGCATACCCATACGTCAAGGAGGTCTTTCAGTCAGTCGCGGTCAGGAAAACCCTCCAGCCTGGGATTGGGATTGGGATTGGGATCGGGGGGATTGTCATGCCATAGTGGTGGTGGTGGTAGTGAGATAAGTTGTCCGTCGTTCTTGAGGCAAACTGCAAATGCTATCCTTTCCATTGGCAAATCCCTGCAACTCTGACACTACGTCAAGCATGCCAAGCTGCAGCAGTCCCGAGGTGATGACTGAAGACATTCTATGCCGTCAGGCTCCCAAGCAAGTCCTTGTCTAATAATGCATTGTCTCCTACTGAGCTACCAGTATCGTCATCTCCACGAAAGGGGATTAAGGCAAGTCGGAGGAAGGGGGGGGGGGGTCGTCTTCTACACTCACTCCTGTAGCTGGAGAGTTTCGTTAAGTGCTGCTCCAGCAGCACGTGGCAGCTCTTCAGCTCTTCTCTCGCCGCTGACGCTGGATGGCGAAGGGGAGAAGAAGGGGTTCAGGTGTGCAAGAAGAACAGGTGGTGATGACATCCCATCAGACGGAAAAGGCGGGAAAAGAAGGAATGCGGGCAACTTCGAGGATGCGGAAGTACTTGACAGTTCTGATTCCCACGTTCCCCCACTTTATGAGAAGTTCTGCAGATCGTTGATTGACTTCATCCATGTCACGATGAATGAATCGAAACATGCTTCAGGAGAAGAGTCTGAAAGACAAACCACAGATACAAATGGTGTTTCTGACAAGAAAAAGAACATGGTCAGGCCAGACAAGCAGAAGTCTGTTTCATCATATTGCAGCGTTCCAGAAGAGAAACTCGCCATCGTGGAGGGGGATGCACAGGAGGGAATGGTAGCTGATCAAGACTCTGGTTTCTACAAGGATGATTGTTTTTTTTTCAGGAGAGCACTTCACAACAGCAACAACAACAACAACACCAACAACAACACCAACAACAACAACAGCAAAGACTGCAAAAAGCTGGGCGGCTTCGTCAATCGAAGCTAGCCGAGCTGCAATGAAGGGACAAGCTTTGTCAGGAGAAGGTAGGAAGGTGCACCCCGTCCTAGAGTTGTTTAAGAATAGGACCAACCACTCAATAGATGGGCAAGCAATGCACAGTGACGCTCGACAGCAAGCAAACACGCACGAGGGGTCGAAACTATGGGGTAGAGAGACCAAGAGCAGAGTATCCGGGAGAAAGAGCAGTCGCGGCCTTTGGAAGAAGTGCGGGAAACAGAGAAACTTCCTGCCATCGACGATCGGGAGCTAAGAATGATGATTTTTGGAGAGGAGGGAGACAAGGAGAGAACAATGAAAGGCAATAGAACTATGACAGTTGCCACAGCATGGACTTTGAATATGGATCTGGAGGGGCAAGCATTGTTACGGAGCGAGTGCATCACAATTTCTCTCAGCTCAAAGATGTACTCGACCACCCCATCCACCTCCCTCCCTTTCAGGCAGTCGATCAGGGGCAGATTTTCAACCAAAAGGCGGGTGTTCTCGCGAGCTCCGTTCTGGACTGGTTGCAGACCGTTCGGCTGCATGGTGCTCCTCCTCCAGCAGTCATCTTTCAAACTTGTTTGCTTTCGCACGTTAAGCGACAGGTTACCTATATCGGCCGCCAGCTTCTGCAACATCTAATGGGCGAATGGAGGCTCCTGGAAGAGCTAGCCACCTTACGCGCCATCTATTTGATGGGATCGGGCGCCGTCCTCCATCAGTTCACATCGAAACTCTTCAATAGACTGGATAAGGGAAAATCCTGGCCGGACTTCTATGTGACCTTAACATGAGCCTTCAGGAGTCGTTTCGGTCATCGACGAACGTTGCCCTGATACCTGCGTTGGACACATTGGTTGCGGTTATTGAAGAGAAGAAAGGGGAGGGATCGAATCAACACCACCATCATGGTCATCAGGGGACCACAGCACAAGCTGGTGGATATAGAATCCCTGTCAGCATCAACTCCTTGAGCTTGCTCAGGTTTCAATACAAGGTATGTGACCTTAACATGAGCCTTCAGGAGTCGTTTCGGTCATCGACGAACGTTGCCCTGATAAAGGGATCAAATCAACACCACCATCATGGTCATCAGGGGACCACAGCACGAGCTGGTGGATATAGAATCCCTGTCAGCATCAACTCCTTGAGCTTGCTCAGGTTTCAATACAAGGTTGCTTGGCCGCTTGAATTCATCGTTAACGAGGCAGCGATCGCGAAGTATAACGAGGTGGTGTCCTTCCTTCTGAAGGTCAAGAGGGCGAAGCATGCACTTGACAAGGCTTGTCGATGGGCCTGGAAGGTAGGTGGGGTAGGAGGGGCAGGAGCAGATGCTGTTCATATCAAGAGGCTGCTTATTCAATTGATCCAGAGGCAATGCCTTGTTGGGTCCGACAAATTGGCCAATGTGATATCTACCAGAATCAATAAAATTTTGGGCTTAGCCTTGGAGTTCTATTGTCTTCAGCGGGGCCTGCTTGAGGGGAAAAGTACTACAGAAGAATCGGCTGCGCAGTTTCATTGCAAGGAAGAGATGGACGCTATCGAACGCCAATTCCATGAGTGCATTCTGTTTCTCCTCAGGGTCTTGACGAGCAAGGTGAATGCCGGACAGTATGGCCATTTTGCGGATCTGGTCACTAGAATAAACTTCAACACCCATCCCTGAAATCATTCGGATGGGGCGCAGT